TTTACAAATTGAAACTGTGAATTGGGTTTTCCAAACATTTGGAATTTGGGGGTTTGCTTGTGGTCTGGCTGGATTTTTGTTGATGATGTTTGTGAGGTGCATAGAAACAGAGGGTTGGTTTGTGTTCGTGAAGATGAACATCTGGAGAAGAGATATCGATCAAAGGGTGTTACACAAGGTTAAAATGGTAAACTGGTAATAAGTTGATTTTCATAAGTCAAGAAAGATTAACTTATAAAAAACTGCTTATTACCGGTTTGGCACCGGTATAAGCAGTTTTTTTTCTTTACCCAAACACTAGAAAACAGCTTATCTCCGGTGCCAAACTGAAATAAGTTAAAAAGCTGATTTGATAAGCAATCCCAAACACCCCCTTAATCAGAGCTTTTAAGCTCTTAATTGAAAAAAGAAAACAAACACACTTAATATCCTAAGGTCTGACCGATTCAGACATAAAAAGGTATTAAGTGTTTTTTTTTATTTATAAAAACAAACAAAGCCTAAGTGATTGGTTGGTTAATTGAATTCAAAGAATTTCAAGGAAATTAGAATTGTCAATTTCTTTGACCAAATTTAAATTCTTTTGTTTGTTCACATATTAAAAATGTAGAAATCCTTTAAATTTCATTAAATTCCTTCTATTAAAGATTTCACTATTCCATTGGATATCCCAAACAGGTGTGGATAGTAGGAGTCATCGACCCCAATTTATTTATTTATTTATTTTATTTTATTTAAAGAAGCTAAGTTTTTTATTTTATTTTATTTGAAGAAGCTAAGTTTTTTATTTCTTTTTAATAAGTTAATCTATTGGGCCTCAATCTGAACATGCTAAGGGTCCTTAACTACCTCATCTAATTTCCTTTCATTAATCTATTTACACACAACACCTCTAAGAGTCCAGTCTCCAAATGAATGGAATGATCACACCACTCGCACCTGCTCACGTCTCGGTCTCACCTGCTCACCATTTCAAAATGATTCTGAAATCATTCACTCGGCCACTGTAATCGGTTATGAATTTGATTTTTAAATCGATTTTGTCTTTGATATCTTGGCTCTCCTTCTCCATTCTTGGTTCTAGGTAAAACCCTAAAACACCTTCATGCTTTTTATTTTTATTTCTGATTTATAAGTAAATCTGATTCTATTGGCTTCTTAGCTTCTGAGTTTTGAATGAATCTGGTATTTATTAATTATAAGTTTTCTATTTGTTAATTGTGCTTGGATTTATGTTTCTTGTCTTTATTATTTAATCTGGGTTATGCTATTTTAATTTAAGGCTTGCTACTGCTTTATCTTTTAGTTACGGTTTCTTGTCTTTTTGCTATTTGATATCTTTCTAACTAAATATAATTTTTTAGTTTCTTGTCCTCTGATTTCTTGCTACGGAATATTTACTTGTGTATTTATTGATTACTACACATTGTGATTAATCTTTCATTAAATCTGTTACAAATTGGTTTAATATCAAGTAACAACATATTGTTTTATTATAAATTGGTTTAATTGTTTTTTCTTCTAACCATCTGGTTCATCAATCGAATTTTGTTTTAATTGTAATGTGTTTTGTTTTAAATTTAAATTATTTATATGTAATTTTAACTAAAATAAAAAAAAAAAATTATATGTGGTATTCTTTTTAAGAACACATATTGGAAAAGCATTTAAATTTCCCAATATAAGCTCTTATAAAATTATAGTTTTGTCCACGATATTAGATAAATTTAAAAGACAAAAAAATCATAATTTAAGAGGTTGTTTATTAAACGCTTACCAAGTTATTTTACCTTACCGGATAAATATGACAATGACAGAGAATTTTAAGCAAAAAAAGGGATGAGGAGGGTCGAGAGTCTTACCGTGATAAGTAAGGATGACGACACTTATGCGCAGGGGCGAATGGCTTAAGGGGCATAGGGGGCCATGGCCCTTGAGCCTTTGTATCTCCATCCTACAATAGATTAAAAATTTAATTATATAATAATTGAAATTTTACTTTGGTCCCTCCACATAATCATCGTTAAAACATATATATCAAGTCTAGCAAATGTTTTATTTAAATAATAACTTGATCTCTTCATTGTTTGTGAAGCTAAATATTGTTTATTTTTCATTTTGATTAGGCTAAAAATTGTTGGTTTCTATAGTTAGAACTAAATATTTTATTGTGAAACAATTGTTAAGAAGATTTAGGGGCCGTTTACTAAACGCTTACCCAGTGAGTACTTACTGGGCAATTTTTCTTACCAGCTGAACATGGCAAGGGGCAAAAATCTTACCCGGTAAGAGCGATGATAAGAATGGAGAGTTTACCCGGTAAGTGAGGGTGACGACTCTTATGTGGGTAAGCGTTTACCAGGTAAAATTGTTGCATAAGATACGTTTTGATGTACTACAATCTTACCCGATAAAATAAATAATAGTGTTGACTCTTAAGGTAAACGCTTACTGGGTAAGCATTTAGGTAAACGGCCCCTTAGAGTTTTAAAATGATAATTTTATACTTAAATAAATACCTTAAATATTATGATTACAAAATATATTGAAATGAAGTTTTGATGATATAACGATCAAACAAAGTCTTCATAATTATAAAATTAATAAAATATTAATAACAACCGCGATAAAAAGTAATTCGTCGATTAAAAAAACATTTGTTACTGCATGGCTTAGATGAAAATACAAGAGAGATATAATCGGACTCCATGACATAAGTTTTTAGAGTAAATTACATTGGTATTACTATTTTTTTGTTAATACTTTGAATGTTTAAGTTTTTGGAGTAAATTTATATATAAATAATGTTTAAGTTGGTATTACTAATTTTCCGTTAATACTTTGAATGTTTCGAGTTTTAATCTTCCATTAATCAAACTTTTTTCTAAAATTTAATAGTCTAAAAACAAATCATTTGGATTTATAAAATTTTACAATATTATAGCATCTCCAACATATTCTTCAAGGAGAATTAAAACTCTAATAAAATATTATTTCTTTCTCATAAAGCATTAATATCAAGGATTCCTATCGGTGTGAATATGATAAAAAAAATATTTCTCTCTTATTATAATCATTTTTGGTTTACACTCTGTTATGTTTTCTCCATTTTGGAGAGTTTTGGAGATGTTGGAGCAAAAATATGTCTAAAATCTTTATTTTCTCAATTTTGAAAAATCTATTGAAGATGTTCTTAATTCGGCCCCCCGGACTACAACAGTCATGTTCCGCCCCTGCTTATGCGGTTAGGACTTGCCGGGTAAATAATTGCATATGGTGTCGTTTCAATGTATTAGAATCTTGTGTAAGTAAGACCGTTGAAGTTTACTGATAAACGTTTACGAAGTAAGCATTTGGCTAAATGGTCCTAAGCTTTAAAATGTATCAAATTTAAATTTTACCTGTATTATAAATTCGTGAAATGCTATTGTTATTTATATAGGAAATGTTCATTTGGGAAGTGGTAAAATATTTGAGAAAGTAAAGAAGTGATTTTAGCCTTCATTTAGTCAACATTTGCGGCTTTGACCGTGAAGCATCAAATAATTACTCGCAAGAGTATGCAGAAAATAGAGGGATAGTTTCGTAACTTTTACAAATAGACAACAAACGGGTTCATATGTAAACCCATTAATTAGCTAACATGTGAATTATTTAACTGTTTTATATATTAATCAGTTAATTAGTTCATATTTGAATAAGTTAATTAGTTTATATGTGCATCACAAGGATTCATATGTGAATTAGTTAAAGTAGTTCATATGTAAATTAAACAAATTCACATAGGTTTATATAAGAACCGGTTTGTTGTCTATTTATAAAAGGTAGAACAATCAAATCCAATATTGACCATGTAAAAAGCTATGATCATTTTTTTACTTGTTAAATATTTACCACTTTCGAATATAACCTTCATATATATATATATATATATATATATATATATATATATATATATAGTTTGTTTCAAATACAACTCATCGCATTTGTACAACCAATGCAACCCAATATATTGAGATATTTATGGAAATGATGAGAGTTCATTTATTATGATTTGAATATTTATGGAAGATGAATATGATTCATTAGTTATAATTGATACCTTATATTAGGAAATAATAAAAACTTATATGAAATCACATATTAAACAAATGAAATGGACGGTTGAGATTGAGTTGTATTTGTTGTACAAATGTCAAGGGTTGTATAATAACCAACATCTCTCTATATATATGGGTCCAATCAAGGAAGAACTCGATTATTTGTGATAACTGTGAGATCCAATTTCAACCACACATTATTAATAATCAATTGTTATTATTAGACATATTAATTTTGGTAACTTTTTTCATTAATTTTTCTAGTTATTCATTAATTTTCAAATAATTTAAATTTACTAATAATATATAGGGGTAAAATTCTCTCTCCCTCTTTATCTCTCCGACCAAGAATTTCTAACAGTAAAACACAAAACAAATATAATACGTGCTGTGATACCCAAGAATTTATAACAGTAGACACAAAACCAATTGTGTTACATATTGTGATACCACTATGATAACGTTTTGAACATGAGTTGATAATAGATGTGATATGAGTCTTAAACCATACACAACCACAATGTGATACACGATTGTGATACAATTTTGTCGAGATAATTAAGGAAACCGAATTCTTAATAATTAAGGAAACCGAATTTGATAACTATTAAATAAAAAAAATATTTAAATTATAATTAATCATTTTATTAAAACGTCATTTACCTATTAATTAAGGTAATACAATTAATATCATAAAATGATTATATCATATTGGATCTCACGGTAACCACAAACTAATTAGTTCTCGTTTGATTAAGCATATATATATATATATATATATATATATATATATATATATTAAATCTATCGAATTTTATGACATAAATGATTTATATACATCTTTAAATTCGATACATTATAGGAATAGAATATGATTGGTTACTAAAAAACACAGGGAGAAACTGATTATAAAGGGTTTGTATACAAGACGCCGGCTGCCGGAGCCTGGAGCATCTTCTCCGGTGAGTCTCAAAACATTATCAGCAAAGCCAAATAGCCAAGCTTTAAAGATACATAAGAAAGAAGTCAACAGCACAAGACGTTTGCAACTATATATGCCGCCAATCATCTGTCATCAATGTTCCCAGTTATATGAACGGGAACAGCAAACTTCGTTTCCATAAAATCTCGTGACGGAGATCCTGCAGGTGTAAAAAACGACGGTGAGTCACACGGCGTCGAGAATTCCGTGTTCATATCTGCGTCTCCTCGGTCGACCGTCACAGCAACCTCCTCCTCCTCCTCCTCCTCTTCCGCCACGGGTTCTTCCGCTAACTGAAGACACGACGGCAAGCACACATCCTTTGTAGCCGGTTTGTTTGGAAAGTCAACGTCAGAAGTTGACTSGACATCGTCTTTGYCTTCCTCTTTAATCGTACAAAGAAACTTGGCCGGTCCATTTGCTTCTAACAGCTTAAAAACGTCAACCACCTGATCGTCCGGCAATGATCCAGCTGTATTCTTGTTGGGCGATAGATCATGGCGGATATGGGGTTTCAAGCAGAAGAAGTAGAGTAGCTCCTTGGTTGCAGCGTCATCGGCGGAAAAATCAGGGGATTGGTTGCCGCTGCGAATTACAGGAGGAGGATGGGAGGTGTGACGGCGGAAGGAACGACCGCGCCAGTTTACGCAGAGTAATTGAGCGGCGAGAGAGACGACGAATACCACGAAGATTATTATGAGAGCAGTGGAGAGGTCAGTGACCCTCATATTTTGTTTTTGTGTGTGAGTTTTGGGAGTTGAATTAATTAGTTAAAGAGTGGGTGCAAGCAGTTGAAAGTAGGAAGGATAATGGGGCTACCGGCACGGGGATTGAATGTTTATCGGAACGTGTTTGACGATGGTGGCATGGATTGACGGGGACCTGCCAAACCACCAGATTTAAAATTTGAAAAAATTGGTTTTCTATTAATTTTTCTTCAAATGCTATCAAAATACATATACTAAATTGAATAAAAAAAATAATGATAATCCCTAAATTAATAATGATAATCCCTAATAGTTTGGCCACAAAAGCGGACATATATGGTCGAATTTAATATCCTCCAATACTCCCTCTTTTAAGTTAGAGTATGTAGATTGACAATACCCAACTTTCATTATTTTATGGAAAAAGAAGTATTATTTTAGAATTTTGTTATTGTTTTTKTGTGTGATGAAACAMCSATATACTGAATTATATTAATTATCAAAGAAACAATAAAAATTAACAAATATGATACCAAAGATTTAACTACAATAATTAAAGTTTAAACGATGGTGAAATTCAAATCAAAATTAGCTAAACTTGACTTGACGACGTGATATAGTGCATAACTGAAGACATCTAAGGATATGTTTGATTGGTTTTGCATTAAATGTTGTATGAATAAGATTGTCTGTATAGATTGGAAACGTTTTTGTTTTAGAGAATTTTTTACATATATGGAATGAACATGTTTTTTAATTATGAATAACGGGTTTTAAAAAAACTTGGTTTTTTATATAAAACTCCTCATAAAAACTAATTGAATAAACGGCTTTCTATATTATTAAGTCACACCAAAAAGTCATGTATAACTAACCAAATAAGTTATCAATTCTATTAAACTTGTTTAAATACTAGCAAACATGTCCTAATTCAATAAAATTAACAACTATAGAGCATTTATTTAAGCTCAAGGTATCAATCTAGTTTTATAAAAAAAAACTTTTAAGTTATTATTTGATAACATTTATGTGTTTTCACTTTAGGTTGATATTATAAAATATTTGAATTTTTGTTTTAAACCTCTTAAATTTTTGATAATATAATTGTTAAAGTATTAAGTATAAATTAATAATGTATGGAAAATTTTTATTTTTTATTTTGCTTTTTATTGTCAAGCGGAAATTATGATTTTCGTCTATGTGGTTCGTGTTGGTTATAATGATTTTTGTTTCTGGTTTTTAAAAGTTGTGTTTTTAGTCACAATGGTTCCAATTTAATTTCGTTTTTCGTTCTTGGAACTAAGTAATTAACGTCATTAAAAACTTTATCAAGTATATCTGTTAAATTAAGGTCATTTTGGCCATTTAACATAGTTATTTAGTTTCTATCAAAAAATAAAACACATTCTTTAAAAAACATTTCTTGTGCCTATTTTATTCATAAAATAGTAATAATATTTTTTTAAATAAAACATTAATTAAAAGACATTTCTTGAATTTTGTAAATTGTAACAAAAGTAAATAACAATTATGCCTCCTTTTTCAAAAGACATACAAACTAAAACTGTTTTTTTTATACCATCTTGGACCATGGGCGGACCTAATGTGGTGGCATGGTGGCACGTGTCACCGTATTATTTCGCGGTCGAAGGGTAAAAAAATTAGGTTTGTTAATGGTGCTACCGTATTTTCCTAAAATCCAAATGGTACAACTAACCCAAACAAAACAAAGCCCAAATAACCAAAACCATACTTTTTGTAATTATTTTTGGGTATATATTGACCGTTTTCAAAAGATGAAGACGCATCGGATACAAGTTTAGGAGTTGTTTATCGGTACTTAGGGCTGTAAACGAACCAAACGAACACGAACGGAGGCTTGT